AGAGGCCCAAAGCTGGAAAGTGGAGCCGGAACCTGGAGAACAAAGACCCTCCTCTGAAAACCAACACTAGAGGAATTTGGAGCAGGCAGTGAGCACCCTGGTGGCTCAGCAGGTACCTCAAAGGCAGCAGTTTGAAACCATGAGCTGATCTGCAGGAGAGAGAGGAGGCTTTCTACTTCCTCAGGGTTCTGGTCTCCAAAACCCTGTCTACGACTGCTGTGAGCTGGAATCAACTCAGTGACCACGGGCTTGAGTATTTGTCTTAGTGGTCACGGCAACAACAAAACCCCCATTACTAGCCACACTTCCATTCAGACCCCCGTTCAGCTCGACTGCTCATCAGATGGTGGCAGCAGTGGGAAGCACAGCTCAAGCACAAACATTATCTCCTTTCGTCTCTTCTGTTACTCAATGAACAACAACCCCACCCCTCCTCCGAAACATGAACGAGAGAGAGAGAGAAAGAGAGAGAGTGAGTGTGTGTCCCAGGTCAAGAGACGAACAGTCCACAAAATCAGACAGAGCTAATGCAGACGATAAACTTACAATCATCTAAAAAACTCTTACTGCCACTCGGTTGATTGGCTCTAGTTAATATAATTAATACTTAAGCTTAATGTCATCATCTCATAGCAACCCGAGCAGAACTGCGCCTGTGGGTTTCCAGGACTTCAACTCTTTATGGGAGGAGAAAGCCTTGACTTTCTCCTTTGGAGCGGCTGGTGGTTCTGAACTGCTGACCTTGTGGTTGGCAGTGTAACCACTGTGTAACCACTACACCACCAGGGCTGCTTGCGTCTTCTAGTAGCTCCCGGTATATTTGCTAAGTCTTTAGCAGCACTGTAGTCGGAGTCCCCTCGATGACAGTGAGTTCATCAGAGCACATTCAGAGAACGGTGGGGGGAAGGAAAAGCTCCTGGAAGCCAAGACTGAGCGCGCATCATTTAAATGATAACGATGGAGAAAGGAACAAAACAATGATTGGAAGTTGAAAAAAATATCAAAGACATCAAATCCCTCAGAAGTTCAGAGGCCACCAAGCAGCCTCATCAAGACAAAACAAAAAATTTTTTTAGGACAAAGCATTATCGTGAAACGTGCAAAAGCCAGCATTGGAAACCAGCTGCTCGTCAGGAGAGCGAGGCTTAGAAGCTAGAGCTCAGGGACAGTTCTACCTGTCCTAGAGGGTCGCCGTGAGTTGGCTGATGCCGCAGTGTCTTTGGTTTGGGGGTTTGCGTAAAAAGGTCCATGTCAGATAACGAGGGTAAAGAACAGGCTCAGCATTTCTGAAGCAGAAAGAACTGGGGTGGGATTAAGCCTTGCGACGCAATACTGATCTTTATGGACAAAATATCGACGGACTCGGGGCCCATCAAAAGACAAGAATACAGGCACTATACCGAAAACATCCCACCCGCTCGGAAGTTGACCATGGTTCATCTTTTCCCCACATGTGCACACCTGCTAATACAGCGCACAGAGGGCCAGCCTGTGTCCTGCTGACCCCTGCTTAGCAAGCACCATCTGATGATGGGAGGGGTGGGGCCCCACAGAAGGATCTGAGCCGGGGTGGGGGTGGGGGTAAGCGACTCCCTGAGGCCTGCAGGCCTCTCCCCACCCTGGGAGCCAGTCAGCATTGCCTAGCCTCCTGGAGTGGAGAGAGCAGCTTGGGGGTGGGAGGTGACGTTCTGAACAAGCCCTGTGGAGAGCATGTCTACTAGCTCACCAGCTGCCTGGACCAAGCAGGCCACGGCAGCAGTTGGAGACTGCCGGGAAAGAAGAAGGGAGGGGGGCAAAGGGAGAACCAGGGCCGAGTTGGCTATCAGCCTTCAGACTGGAGGTCCAGGGGGCGGGGTTTTCCCAGGCCCTGGAACTGAGAGATGGAACTTGGTGCTGCGCAGTAGCACTGCCCAAACTCCAGGGACGTGGTTTGTGTGCTGTGCAAACTGAGCCGGACCCCAGATATCCCCAGGGGGCACCCTGTGGGACCTCCCTGTCCGTGTCCCTCCCCCACAACTGTCCTCTAAGTCTGCCTAGCCACATCCCACAGACCTCACAGGCTCTCCTGGCCAGCCTGGGCCCGCTGGGGTTTGAGGATG